TCTTATCGTTACCAGGGACTGTGCTCTCTTCCAGATCCTCAATGTCCATTACAACAAAGGGAATGATTTTGAGGTGAGACTATATTTGAATAGCATAGAAAAAGCACCATCCACAATCTCTTCAGATCAGAATACCACAGAGATCACCTTAGCTTAATTATTATTTATTGTGAAACTAATTGAGGAAGCTGTATCACAGCCCTGCATCTCAAAAAATGGTGATACTGGTTACATTCTGATCCTACTATTTAGAGACTTAAAGTGTTGAAATATTTCCCGAATTATCTAATAAGAATAACAGAAGTTTCTATTCCAAATACATTTAATGAAGTAACAATGTAGCTGCTTAAATGATAACATTATGTGGTGTAAGTACTTGAGCAGTTGTTCACACATATACAGTCAAGGTTGACTCAGCCTTCCATCCTTCCGAGGTGGGTGAAATGAGGACCCAGACTGTGGGGGCGATATGCTGACTCTGTAAACCGCTTAGAGAGGGCTGAAAGCCCTATGAAGTGGTATATAAGTCTAACTGCTATTGCTATTGCTATTGCTACTGCTACAGTCTTCTCTGTGATTGTTCTGCTACTGTTGAATGCAAAGCCCCATGCATACTGCATTCCTTTGTCATATTTTGTTAAGGAGGAGCTTAACATTAAGGGTGTTTTTGTTATTCTGATCGATATTTATATTGATGTTTTTAAATTGTGAACCGTATAAAGTTTTTTAGAGAACAGGTACAGAACAATACATAACGGGATAATTAAATAAGATACTCTTAATGGATGAGTCCCTGCTCGACAGGATCCAATTCTGATATTAAACCATAGATGGTTAGAGGTAGATGGTTTTAGGACCATGAATTGACAATTTATCAATTATGGTATAAAATTAATGGTAACTTGGGGAACATAGGTAGTTTCTAGCAAACACCGCAGTGCAATAGCTTTGCTAAAATGAGGCTGATCGTTGATCATACAGGTGTCAAATTAATAAACTTTTCCTAAACTTTTCATTCTATCTTCACAGGTTCCTGATGGTTTCTTGGATGTTGCCAGTCTGACCCTTCAGGAATTCTTTAGTGCTGTCAGAGCAGGGCGGGATTTGGATCCTTCCTGGAAAAAACCAATTTACAAAATAATTTCCAAGCTTGATAGTGAGATCCCAGATGTATTTAAATCCTCTAATTGCCCTAAGGAATTTACCCAAGATTAATGTACAGTGATCATGGCATGCGATTGAAATGATTCTAGTGCTGTGTAAGTTTTGACTGTATACTAAGGCAACAATTGAAATCTGAATCAACAGAGAAAGTACGATCAATATTCTAATATTTTATAAATATATGAAAGGAACATTTTGGGACTATATACAGAAAGGTTTTCGGGTGTATCCCTTAGTTGTATGTTTTATTACTTATTTATTAAGCAAACTATATAAGCAGACATATAGCTGCCTGTCTACCAAAAGAAACACTTTGCAGTAACAGAATATAGTACCATACATTAAAAAGACGATGAGGGTCCAATAAAACTTGCAATCATTTGTCTACCATCTCTTTCATTTACTCCACCACTGGATCCACTGGATTCAGTATCTGGGAGAAAATCCAAGTTTTCACTATTTCTCTGAAGGCCCAATTGGATTGGGGCCATCTGTATCTCTGGGGAGAGGCTGTTTCATAAATCAGATGCCAGGCAGAGAAGGCAAACCCCACTGAAGCCCTAGAGGCAACACCGTTTCATCAAGGATTGTTTTCTACAATCCTTCTTCATCTCCTCTGAAAAAGAATGCGGAGCCAAGCTGCAGTGTGATCAGTCAATAGTATGATAGGATAAATAATAAATATGATACATTTCCTTGAAATCTACTGAATTGCCATAAATGTTTATAAGGTAATACTTCTGTACAATTACCTAATACAGTGGTGTCACTCATGTCACGGTGGCGTCATGTGACGTATCAGGACTTTCTCTCCCTTTGCTAAACTGGGTATGGGCATGGCCAGTGCGTGACACATTTGGCCCATGGGCTGGGAGTTTGACAGCCCTCATCTAATACATCCATTTAAATTCTGTTATTTTTTTCTCAACATATGAACCCTTAAAATACTCTGTTATAAATATGAATTTAGGCATGCTCTACTTTTGTTCAATGGTCCTAACAGAATTTATAGAACCCTTAGCATAATGAGCTACCTTGAGAAAACTAATGTTTCAAAAGGAGGGGCAATACACTTATTATTAAATAAGCATCTACATCATGGGTGTCAAACTCACGGTGTCACACCGTCACTTGATGTTTTTTCCATTTGCGGAGGTGGCGTAGACGTGGCCTGCGCATAATGCATCCAGCCCGCGGGCCGCCAGTTTCACACTCCTGATCTACATTAATATTTATACCTTGTGCCATTCTTTCAAGAAACATAGTGTTCTCATTATATTGATTTCTGTCATTTTCATGTCTTCATTTCATGCTCAGGCCATGAATGAGACAACCTTAAGTCTTCCTAAATTGTACCAGAGTTAAAATACTATTTCCCTCCTTAGTCTGACAAAGGTCAAGCCTGAAGTTATCAAAATCTATTAAGCTACTAGGGAGGGAAATCAGGTGACCGGCAGGACAGGGAAAAGCAGCACTAGATGCAGGAAATGGATATGTAATGTGGACAGTGGATTTCAGGCTGGTATAAAAACAATACTTACTGACTCAAGATGAGTGATTACAACTTTACCTCCACCGTGGGAAAATTCCTTTTGCTTTTATAGTCTCCTTTGTCTGCATCTCACTCTCTGGCTCATGTCTTATCTAGAAGAGTGGTAAGACTATGTCATCTCTTGAATGAGATTAGTAATGACTCTAATTGGAATCACAGAGTAACCCAGCCCTATGCCAATAACCCCATTCCCCAAAAGGATAAGAACATAGGAAGATGTTTTATATCAGGTCACACTATCTGTCCATCCAGTGCTGTACTATTTAATTGAACAACAGTTTTCTGCAGTGTCCCTTGTTACCTATATTAAAAATATCACTTAATACTTTCCCTTTAAATTGTAAGGAATCTGAAGTTTGTGTGTTTTGCTTCTCCTCTTCAAATTCTCATCCTGACAACTGGCTGACAGCAATGTCCGTTTTCTTAATTAAACGTATTTCATAGGGTTGTTGTGAGAATGAAGAACTATATTTTGAGTTCCCTGGGAAAATAAAAACGTAATAAATCAATACATTTTTTGCTGGGCTTTTGCCTGGTTGCATTTTCTTGAGTTACCCCAATAAAAAGTGTAATAGGTTAGCATTCTGATGTTGCAAATTCAACATAGATTCCATTGTGAACCAAGGAAAGATTATAATGGCCCTAGAAATTCTGAAGGTGCAGTTATTTCTAACTGTAGATAACTGAGATTTAGATAGGCTGTAATTTGGTCAATTCATCTCAGTCAATCCAAACGAAGGATTGGATTATAAACAAGATTAGAAAGAGTTAACCTTGTGCCTTCCAGCGGCTGCCATTGGAAACCAGCAAGTAGCGATACTGTCCTAATGTAAATGAATTGAATCCTAATTCAGCCGCCAAACATTGAAAAATGAAAGCGGCGGGCGAAGAGACGTCAAGAGTCGGAGGCTGCAGTTGTGCACTAGCAGCGTCCCACGGTCGTCCCCCCGCCCCGTCCCCGTCCCCGCCTCCGCAGAAAGCCGGGCGAGCGAGGCCCCGCCCAGCGCACACTGTCCATGCGGCGAAGGGCCGAGAAAGAGGAGGAGCTCCGCGGGCCTTATGCAGATGAGGCGCCGGCGCCGGGCATTGTGGGGAAGCGACAAGTGCGGCGCACGGAGGATCGCGAGTGTGTGTGCCTCCCACGGCCTCCGCTCGCGGTGTTGTCAGCAAGTTTCCGTGTGTGAGAAGCGTGATCTGGAGGAAGTGGGCGACGTACTATGGGCCACCGTGAGCTGAAGTGAGTGGAGCGATGATGGGAACGGGTCCCGGCGCGAAGCAAAGCATACTTACCTGGCAGGGGAGACACCTTGATCATGAAGGAG